TATAAAGATAAAAATCTATAGTAAATTTTTAAAAGAAATATAAATAATTGAAATTGAATGTATGATTGATCGAAAATAATTTGAGTATTTGGATCTCATTTTTGCAATTTGCATGTAATTGTAAATTCTCTGTTCACACATCAAGTATTTCTCTTTTATTATATATTGTAATTATGTCATTAAAATAAATCTATTAAAAATTTGAATTTTTTGACAGAGTAAATGATTTATGATTTGAAAATTACTAATACAGAAGAAGAAAAAAAATGTTGAAATAAGATGCATTTAAATAAGAAATATTTTCCATTCTATTTTATAACAAACATTAATTTTAATTTGTATGGTTAAATTTCTTAATTTAATTCTAAAGATTCTAGAATATAATTTTTATTTTGAAAATACAGTAAACTCCCGATTATCTGGACTAATGGTGGGGAGAAGTGGCATGGATAATCCGAACTATAATTATTTATCTCTAAAATACAACATATTATATATTTCTAAGGCAGACAATTGTATGAACTTGTTTAATGCTCATTATTATTAAGAAAATCTGTGATTTTGGTTTGTTTGCAGGAATCTTTTAATGATTTTTTAATATCAGTTCAAATTTTTCTAAGAGTTATTATGTCGTTATACTCGAATTCCCATTGGTCGATGTACTCCAACAAAGTGTCAACAGAATTCAGGGCCGTGTTGTGACTAATGTGATTGATAATTTCTTCTTCTCCACTTTCAGCTTCATTCTCTTGCTCATCTGGTTGAATGAGATTGGAAATAATATCTGCATCACTCATTATTTGAAAACCTCCATCACATGAATCATGTTCTAACCACTCCTTAATATTTTCTCTATCAACATTTTCAAAGCCATGTAAATTTGCACTTAGCTCACTTATTTCAGATACTATTTCCCTTGTCTTGGGCTCGATAGAATCCAAAATATTATCTTCTACATTTGGTAGAATTTTCCTCCACGATTGAACGAGTGTTATTGGCTTTATTTTGTTCCAAGATTGAGTTACACCATGTATCGCATCTAGTATTGTCATTTTTTTCCAAAATTTAATCAAATCATCACCTTCTTTACAAAGGCTTTTAATAAGGTCATTGCGATAATGTCGTTTCATTAATGAGATAACCCCTTGATCCATGGGTTGAATTAAAGATGTAACATTAGCTGGTAAAAATTTTGCAACCATAAGGCCGTCATCTGTTTTCAATATGCTTTCATTTGGATGGGATGGAGCATTATCTAATAACAGCACTGCTTTCTGTGGTAACCCCTTACTTTTCAAAAATCTCTCACTTCTGGAACCCATTTAGTTTTGAACCAATCTTCAAAGATCCTTTTATCCATCCATGCTCCTTTCTGGTTGTAATAATCAACAGGAAGATTTCTTATTACTGTTCCCTTAAATGATCTTGGTTTTTTTCGCTTGCCCAATCACCAAAAGTTTCATTTTGTGTGTTCCAGAAGCATTGCCGCAACACATGATTGTGATACGTTCTTTTGATGATTTATGACCTGGGGTGGATGTTTCTTTAGACGAAGCAAGTGTCTTACTAGGCAAGTACTTCCAGTATAAGCCTCTCTCGTTGGCATTATATATTTGATCAAGTTGCAAATTTTCTGATTGTAAATATTTTTCAAATTCAATGCAGAATTTATCAGCGGCTTCAACATCTCCACTGAGGTGCTCTCCTTGCATCATAAGTTCCTGAATACCATGTTGTTCTTAAATCTGGTAAGCACCCAGATGAAGCGTTGAAGTTGCCATTTAACCCCAATGCATCGTGGAAAAATTTAGCTTTATGTGTACACGTTGGACTGTTAATTGGTATTCCTTCTGTTTGTTTAAACCATTTAAGCATGGCTGAATCCAAATTTTCATATGATGACATTTTCATAGTTTTTCAATTTGAAGGACCTGCATTACTGTCACAATCTCTTGTAAACTCCTTCAATTTTCTTTTTTTGTTTAATTATATCGCAAACCATTTGAGTACCAACTCCGTATTCTTCAGAAAGCTTCGATGTAGATTTACTTTTTTCAAATTTTTCAATTAACGTTAGTTTTTGTTTTATAGTAAGTATTGCTTTCTTTCGATTATTAGGCATTTTAAGGGTCTCATCTCTCATAGTGCCATATCAGGTTTTCCCGACCTCGGCCACACCCGGTGCAGATTAGTAAGTAGTTAGTCACTACGCCAAGGCGTTACTAGGGAAAGTTAGTACCCAGAGTGGTTTCCCGTTGCCTTCTCTGGGGCGCGATGTTACGCAAGGGGAACTAATGTCTTCCGGGAGGACTTTTATGGGGAACTGGCCTCCTATTTAGTCGTTATTGGCAAGGAGAAAACCCGGAAAACTCCAAGCAGCCAGCCTGTCCGATCGCGGTGCGAACCCACGACCGAACTCCCAGTGTTTAGGGTACGAAGACCACTTGGCCACTGGTGATTTTAAGGGTACTTATCAAAAAATTTTAAAAAAAACATCTTATTTTATGTAATTTTACACTAAAAGTATTTGTGGGAGAGTTATTTGAAAAAAATATTATGTATAATATCTATTATACATACGTACTGTTGGGATAGAATCATTCGGACATATGATTTCTCACCCCTTTTTCTTTTCAACAAGCTGTAGAAACTCGGATCAAGAAACGACCAGTAGTTTTGAATCCACAATCGCTGATTGGCCAGCAATCATTGTACTGATCAGTGGACGTCTGATAGTGCTACAAAATGCTGATTGGTCGATCAGCATTTTCTTCAATCCATATAAAAGGTTTGGGTTTGGGCAGGAGAGGAAGTTGGCCTGACTTCTCTGAAGTACGCCAAAGTTTGTCTAAGTTTGTCTAGCTTCGCCTGAGTTTGCCTAAGCTCATCTAAGTCAAGTTGGTTGGTCAAATGAACTTGCTGAAGAAGTAGATTTTGTCTTGCTGTGTTGTAACAAGCGTCTGAAGGAATATACATCTAACGGCATCTGAGATATACGTTGCAAGGTGCCCTTTTCGACAGACCTGTTGTGGATTAATTGACTTTTGGACTCTAATTTTATGTGTGAAATTCACATTGTAAATATCCTAAATATTGCAATTTGTATCTCTTGTGAACATCGTAAGTGTATGTAAATTTTATTTGTTATTATAAACGTTTTGTGAACTGTGAAAAGTGTGAATATTGGAATTTGACTCGTACATATAATCAAATCTTAAGTTGTAATATGTATTATAACTAAACCACTAACGCACACCGGAACCATATAAAAATAACTTATCTCTAAACCTATAACCGATGTGAAAGAATTTCACATCGGTTATAGGCGTGATGCCCAACGGAACTCGAAATAAGAACATTTTTGAAAGGCGTTCCAAAGACAACGGGCAGTAACGATGTGTTACGAATAGAACATTGCCTGAAGAAGGATACAGTGGTGTCCGAAAACGTTTGCGATTGAAATTCTTTCACATCGGTTATAGGTTTAGAGATAAGTTATTTTTATGTATTATAACATGCAACTAAATTAAACTTTGTATAAATGTACTCACTATCATTTTCTCCTCTGAAAAGAAACATCCGGCACGAAAGAAGCAGCCTAACTAAAACCAGTCCAGCTAACTTCAGATACCCCCACCACCCGCTTCAAACATGTAAATACAAACACGTGCACACTTATAGGATACATAAACATGAAAGCGAGCAACTATTTAAAAAATACATACTCATATAATTATTTTTTTTTTAAATTAAATTCATGCACGGATAATCCGCAAACCAGATAATCTGCACACGGATAATCAGGAGTTTACTGTAATAGAGAAATTATATATATGTATATATTTTTTTTTATCCAAAGTGTTCTCTTAATTATAAGCCTGTGTTTAAGAAATATAAAATATTATTCTGTATATATATTTAAATTGTTTTGTTTTTGATATATAATTTTTAATGTGTTGCAATGACATCATCGTCATAAAAAAGAGTTAAATCTCTCTGAAATAAGGGCAAGAATTTAAAAATGTTTTTTATTTAATAAAAACCTTTTTGGCTGATATTTTGAACTTTATTGATGAAGCTCATTAATATAAATAAAAATGGAATTGCAATACACATTAAACAATTATAATTTAATAATAAGTTTAATACAAGTTAATTTGGAAATTAAGAATTAGGAAAATTATTAATTAAATAATAATTATTAATATATAATAGTATTTAATAAATATTATATGAAAAATTAATAGTATTATGTATAAATGAATAGTATAAAAATATCTGTTATATAGATTTAATGATTAAAAATCATGTTTTTTAGATATTTTGATTGTGTTGACATTTGTAAACTTCAGCCTGGTTGGAATGAAGTTCGAATGCAAGGTGTACTTCCACCACATGCAGATAAAGACAGTTTTGCAGTAACTGTTTTAACAGTGGTAGAACCAACTGAAGTGGAGTTCAGTTTATTCCAAGAAGGTCAAAGGTGAATATTTAATGAAATTGTTTTTATTAAAAAAAATGAATTGTTAAAAGTATGCCTTTTCAAATCCAATAGTTCAAAATCTGATCTAATTTTCTTAAGCAAAAATATAATATATTATGAAGAGTGGGAAAAGGTTTAATAAATCATTTTTCCAAGCTCATTTTATTGTTTTATGTGGTACAGGTCACCCACTATCCAAAAGTAGATGATCTTGTAAAACGTTTTCAAAAGATGAAATGGCATAAAGTAAAAGAACAATTACAATCAATTTATATCAGAAAAATTTTTGAGCATTTTCAAACTCAAAATTAATTTACTAAATCATACCAAATAATACTAACACATAGTAAAAGCAAGGAATAATATGATAAATATACAGCCTACATAAAGTACAAATTTAAGTACAGTCCACTCAACCAATAGACTCTATTTTATTTTATTTTTGTTAATGGATGTATACAAAGTAAATTAACATGAAGTACATATGCTCAAAGACATGTTTCAAAGTTAAAGCAGCTTGAAGCCGAATATAGTTCTCAGAGAAAGAGTTTGGAGATGCCTCTGTGTTCACTGCTTGGAGTGCACAATGTCACTAAAATGGCTCACTGCAAAATAAACACTCATCACTATTATTGCTTTTTGCTTTTTTTTTGTAAAAGTGAAAGTCCTCTTTGGATTCCATTTAAATGAAAATAAATACTAATATAAGTCTTTATAAAAGCAGTGGTATAAAGTAAACTTTTATAAGGTGGGGAATACCTATACTTCTAATTTATTCAATATATGATAATAAATCATGAGAATTTTCATGTATCAGGCTCATGTGTAAGATTTTTAAAAGGATGAGATTGAAAACAAAATTTTTTTTCATAATGTAGTTTTTTTAATTTTAACAATATAGGTGTATAGAATAATATAATACAGCAGACTAAGGAGGAATTGAACAGCTACAAAATAAATATAAGTTAATAAAACAGTACATTTTATATAACATAGTAACATTTATCTATTTGAATTGCAAAATGGGATGAACAGTTAAAACCCCATGTGCATAGCCTTCATATGCATCTGTGCCATTTCAGTGGTAATAGTCAGGTTTTGGGCTATATGTAATTTTTTTTATAAAGAGTTGGCAGCACTTTGGTGGAGGGAAATGTGTATAAAAAGTATATAACTCCAACAGGCACACCGGGTGATATAATAAAATAGAATTCGACTTACATAAGCCTGTAACCAATGTGAAACGGCAAAAAATTCTAACGCACAAACATTTTCTGAACACCTTCCGTGTTCTTCCTCAGGTATTCAAACTGGATTTTTTCATATTCTGGAACACTGTTATAAAATTTTAAAATAAACGGGGAACACAATGTGTACAACGCGTGCGCAATGGACATCGCGCATTCGAACTATCATCGGTCGTTTTATTTTTAATTTATTTAAAAATTTTATAACAGTGTTCCAGAATATGAAAAAATCCAGTTTGAATACCTGAGGAAGAACACGGAAGGTGTTCAGAAAACATTTGTGCGTTAGAATTTTTTGCCGTTTCACATTGGTTACAGGCTTATGTAAGTCGAATTTTATTTTATTGTGTATAAAAAGAATTGCGGGTTGGCTGCAGGAGTTTTTAGATGGTTTTGTCTTGGTTTGTACAGGTGTCTAGAGAAAATAGGTTGTGAAGTGAAATCAGTATCTAGACATTACATTAAAAGAGTAGCGAGGTTGTCTGTATATGCACAGACTTTACCTCTAAGAAATTAGAAGTGTTGAAATTGAAATTAGAAGAGGAAGTGGTAGTAAGTAGGGAGGGAAAGAAAATAGGGAAAGATTGAAGGGAAGTGTCGGATCATTGAGCGTCTGCATCAGAATTGTTGAACAAGTAAAATACAGTGACAAGACAAAATATGTTTAGTAAACAGTATAAAAACAAACATGACAAGTTTGCACGTGCGAGTGAATGTGTACAGCAAAGGGGGGACTTTATTGAACATAAAATACAAAAAAAAGAATAACACAAATAATAACATAAAAGGCCAAAAAAATGTCTCTATTACTTTTTTGTTTGTTAATTTTTTCTTACTGATATATTCATATTAAGCATACCCTCCATGCTGCTGAAATTTTATTTCATTTTCTGAAGTTTATCATTGTCCTGCTTGGTTGGTCTTGTGTATGTGTGATGCTTCAGCCTGTTTAATGTCACTTGTCATGGATCTTTTGGATTATTCTGGCTGTTCCCATTCCACTAACTTCTGTTGGGTCTGATATAACATAAGTCACTAATGCGGTGACCAACTGCTCATTTCGTGTGTTACTTTAATGTTCTTTTACCCTTTCTTTTAATAGCCTTCCTGGGGCTCCAATGTAGTATAGTTCTTTTTGAAGCCTTTCATCTTGTATGGTTATTCTATAAATTCCAGGAATAAGGATCTGGTCTATAGCTTCCTTGTCCATACATAGCATCTGGTATATTGTGGGATTTTTTTTAAAAACTATCTTTTGTTTGTTGCTGCTCCTATTTCTTTGTAAATATTGCCTAGGGGTGCCACATATTCTATCACCATGCAGGACAACAATAAACGTTAGAGAATAGAATAAAGTTTTGACAGAATGGAAGGCATGCTTAATATGAATATATCAGTAAGAAAAAATTCACAGACTGTAAAATTAATGGACACATTTTTTTGGCTTTTTATGTTATTATTTGTGTTATTATTATTTATTATTTTGTTTGTATTTTATGTTATCCCTTGCATTGTAATTAGCTATTAACATTGTTCTTAAGATGATTGTACTTATTGATACCAAACATGTGCATTAGATGTAAAATAAATTTTTTTAAATGTTCTAAAATAGGTTTCATTCATTATAAATTGAAATTATTCGATTTTTCCTGAAGAAGGTCAATCATCTGACTGAAAACATTAGAAGTTTAAATAAAAAGACTGCATCTTAAAGGATTTTTGTTGTTTATACACAAGATGTTATGAAAAAATTTTAAATCTCTATTGTATCATTAAGGTAAACTGATCAGCCTGTATATTATTTTGTTCTAAAATGTTTTTGTAAATATTCCTTTGTATTATGGATTATTATAGATTATTGTAGATTATGAAATGCTTAAGAAACATCTTAATTATCTTAATTTTTTGCAAATAACCAATAGGTTAACTGTGTTTAAAAATTAACTTGACAGTAGTGATGCAGATTATCTGCTGATTTTAATTTGCAGTTATGAACTTATCACATAAATTTTCTTTGTATAAAGTTACCAAGAGTATTTTTAGAAAATGCCCTTTTTTTTAGCCATTTCTTTAATAAATAAAAATAATACAGAAACTGGGTTATACTATACTACATAAACTCCCTATCTTGGTATTTACCCAGTTTTTCTGAGCTTGCACCATTCTGCTAGTTGAATACCAAGGTAAGGAGGGAGTTTCTACAGTACTGTAAGGACTCTTTTTATGCGGATTATTTTTATGCGATTTTGAAGTTGTGCGGTTTGTATTTCATCCAAAAATTTCTTGGACAAACATACATATAGGCTTGTTTCTCCATTTGTTCCACTGACATATAACGTTTATGGATGTAAAGGACAGCTAGATCTACCTTAATCGCTTTAGTTCCTAGCAATTTTTGATATAAATGTAATTAAACATAAAAAATACTTAAAACTGAAAAAAA